CAGGGTCGGCAGGACAGGCTGAGACAGCCAGTTCATCATAGGAGCTTCAATTTCCTGTTGCTTTGCTTGCTGACATCTTCATAGAAGGTTTGTGAAGGGCTCCTCCTGGGACTGTTGAACCATACACAGCCAGAAGGGCTGTTGCGTGTGTGTGTGTGTGTGTGTGTGTGTGTGTGTGTCTTTGTTTCTGCTGTGTCTAAGTATGCATCTTTCTCTGCACCTGTTATTGTGTGAGTATATCTAAGTGTCTTTGTGTCTGTGTGTCTCTGCCTATGAGTGTGCATGTCTGTTCATGTGTATATATCTGGCATTTGTGTCTGTGAGTGTGTCACTGCGACTGTATCTGTATGTATCTGAGTGTGTCCAGATGACTCTCTGTGTTTCTCTGCAACTCTTTGTTTTGTATCTGAGTCATTTTCATCATCTGTGTGTGTATTGGTGTGTGAAAATGTGCATGTGTCGGTATATTTCAGAGTGAGTGTGAGTGTATCTATTTGCAGTCTTCTGTGTGTGTGCCTGGGACTGTGTGTGCATTTTTGCCTGTGATCATGTGTGTGAGTCTGTATGTCTGTCTGGGTGTGCTGAGTGCGTATGCCTCTGCCTCTGCCTGGGGCTGTGTGTCCTGTGTTCTGAGGCTGCTTCTGCAACTGTGTCTTCGGTGGGCATGTTACTGGGTGTCACCAGCTCTGTCTGGCCGTGTGTCTGACTGTTTCTGCCTTGGTGTGTGAGGGTCTCTGTCTGTGACTCTGCATCTCCACATGTGCTTATGGGGGCTGAGTCAGGTCGCAGGCTGCGGTGGCCAGTGTCTTCCTGAGGTCAAGGCAATGCTCAGAGAGTCCAGGAAGGGAAAGCTGTGGTCATCAATTGTGGTTTGGGCCCACACTATTTTTAAAGTTTAAAAAAAGCAGCAAGAGGAAACTCACTGCCACTTAATAGCCAGGTCAGAATTAGGTAAAACACAGGCTGGGCTGGTGGGCCTGTGGCGTGGTGGGTGGACTGACATGACCCCAGTGCCACCGTGGCCTGCAAGGTCCCATGAGGCCCAGAAAGCTGACAGGTTGTAGTTACCACATCTCTGTGCACAGGACACCCGCACTCAGCCCTTTCCATCTTGTGGTTCTTTACAATGGCCCTGTGAACATGGATTCCTGTGCTCGCTCACCGCAGGGAAACGCCGAAGTGCGGACCTGTCCCTCTCCCTCGAAGCCTGTGCTGCCTGCAGACCCTCGTTAGCTCTCTGCCCCCAGGGGCTCTGTCTCCTGTCAAGTGATGTGAAAGGAGAGCTGTGCAGCTGCTGGCACGCCTGACCAGCAACTTTCCATCAAGAAAGAGGCTTCCTTCAGAAAGATCAACTATAACAAAACGGTTCGGGAGGAAAGTTCTCTGCTTATCTCATACTGCCAGGGCAGTCTGCGCCTTCAACCACTTCCTCACCCTGTCAAAAGAGCCGGCCTCTCATAGCTGGCGAAATATTTCTATCATCAGAGGCATGCTTTGAAATTCTCAAGACCTCGTGGCCTGTTTGTGGGTAAAGCTGGTGGCCCCTGACGGTTGTCCTGTTCTTTACTATTTAGAACAAGAACAGTGGCTTCAATATCTTGAGTACATGCGTGTATGCTGAGTTCAGAAAAACCACGTCCAGTGGTTCTCAGAAAAGCTGGCCACTCACAGATGGAAGAATAAACCCATGGATGCGGAATTCCTCACCAGCTCTAAATCATCCTGACTCTGGTTCATTGCCACTGTTACTGAGTCCCAGGCCCTGAGTTGGAAGGGTGTTTGCTGTTTATTGCTGCTTACTCCCACAAACAGCTCGAGTTTAGCGTCCCTTAGAGATGCCAAAGCTCAGCTGGAGCCACTGGCTGGAGATGGATTTCAGGGTGCTGGAGCCTGGCTCGGTGCACCTTATAGTAAACCTGAGCTTGTTATCTAAGTGAGTTAAGGACAGAAAACCCTGAATTTTGCCCATTCTTGCCCTATCTTCCAGGCCTGATGTGATCACTCAGTACAGTTGGAAAGAGCTTCTTGGACATGGTGTCTGTGGGTCTCCACCTACTTGCCGTACTGTGTGACTTCTGGGCTCTCAGCTGAGATTTTCACTGCCCTGTCTGACCTTTGACTCTGGCCACAGGTCCCCCACTGGACCTGACAGCTAGGCAGAAACAAGAATAACAGTAGCACCACCTCATTCCAGAATAAGTCAGGCTCACCTCATGGTAGCCAAGGGCCTGGTTCAGGGTTTGCCTCCACCTCCCCAGAGCCATGTAAACTTGGGCCAGGCACTTACTTCTCTGCACCTCAGATTCTTCATCTATAACACAGGATGATGCCATCATCGCCCTGCAGGTGTTGGTGGAGCTTAGCTAAATCTGTACCCTGTGTCACTGAAAGCCCTGCTGGGGGCAGAGAAGGCGAAAGCCCCCCAGTTCAGGTTGAAGTGGAGGAGGAGCAGGTGCTAAGGTACTCTCTGCAGCGCCCTGTGGAACTGGAAGCCTGAGCCAGGATGTAGCCCCCTTAGCTGCCTGTGACAGGAGAGGACTTCTAGGGTTTAGAGCCCGGGAGTTGGGCTATTGCATGGACAGGACCAGACTTGGGCTCCTCCCTCCTGGTCTTGCCCTCAGACTTTGGGTGTCAGTTCCCAGGAGCCCCTGGGTGATACATTCTCACTGTATCTCACCTTGCCCCTGACAATTCTAACTCTGAAGCTCAGTGACCATGGGTACCTCCCATGGGCAGTGCTGGGTTGCTCTCCCTTGTTCCAGGACATATGACCAACCAAGCCTTGGTTTCCCCTGTCCCCAGAACTGGGGTAACTATACTCTGCTTCCTCTAGTATTTTCAGTCTCTGATATAATAGCCAGAGCCTGGAGCTGTGACAACAGAGCCAGAGTCCTCTGGGACAGTGCTGTCTTTCCATTGGAGCAGGGGGATCCAGTTTACCTCAAGGACTGATTGCCTTGTCCAGATAGAAAAACACACATGGATACATGAGACTGAGCCCATGGCCTGGTCCAGACAAGTTCCAGCTCTGCCCCTCACATGATGTGTAACCTAGGCCAACAGAGCAAACCTCTCTGCCCCAATTCCCCCCTAAGTTAAGGAGGTAAATACTGCCTACATCTCAGGACTGTGGAGATGATTTAGTACTTAACACTTGCAATTTCTTAGACTGTGTGCTTAAAATCTAGAATGCTCTGTACATGCAAGCAGTCGCTGTGAGATATGACCGAGAACCACAGTGAATGTGTAAATTTTAAAAATATATTACAGTAATAGACACATTGCCATTAATCCCTTTCAAAGTAACTCACTACCATTTTGAACACAATCATTCCCTTGTGCTTGCCATGTCCCAAAGCAGCTCTGGGAGTCCTATTTTGTCAGTGTTTTTAGTTGAGTTACCATGGCTACCTTGATGTGCTGAATCTGTCCAAAATATTTCCCTCTGATTTTGACTTTGGGGAGTCATATAGTACAGAACTGGTGAAAGGGGGCACCCTAGTGTTTTTACCAGCCTCCTTTCCATTAGATAGCAGCAGCATTCACCGTGTTTTTTATCACACTTCCCACAAAACCCTCATGAAAGAAAACATCCAGAATTGCTTCAGTAAGTAGCAAGAACAATGCAATAAGAGTATTCGAAGCAAGGCAGATTGTTTTGAGGGGAATTAGTGAAAATGTGTCTTTCACTGTAACATATATTTTTTAATTTAACAAGGTGATACCTCTTCTCTTAGTTGATAACATCCTGGTACAAGTGAAGTACTTAATTCATGAGCATTCTCTCTATCCTTTGTGAGCCTTCTTGTCTGGAAAGTGGCTTGATCGCTGCAACTGGGCTGTTATTGTGGAAGTGCAACAGAAGAAGTACTGGGAAAGACACCCTGCCAGCGGGTCCCAGCGGTCATGAACCATGTGCTGCCCATGACTGCCCTCGTTAGGGACCAGGAGTCTGAGATCAGAGCAGCCCTTCCCTCAGTGCTCCAGATGCAGAGTGAGGCCCTCCCTCTCCACATGCAACCCCATGGCCCAGCACATCCTGGAGCCTGGCTCAGTATCCAGGGGCTACTGCACCTCCCTGGTACTAGTCTTCTTCATGGTACCTGTATCTTTAGTTCCCCCTATATCTTTAGTTCCTGATTTTTAACATGAGAGCAATAACAGAAACTAACCAGTCCCTGTGAGGCTCCGAGCTAAAGTTACCTCAGGTATCCATGCGTGGCAATCACCATTGCTCTATTTGACACAGTGGCACTAGTGATAACAGTGCACTGTCCCACCATGTTGTCCCTGATTCCTGCTCTCCAGAAATTGCTGCCCTGGTGCCTTTCTCTGGGCAAAAATCTGACCCTTTCCTCTGTCTTTCCCTGGGCGGGAGACCCAGCTCTACCAATGGTTCCAGCAGATACCAGTTTCCTGAAACCCAGCTTTCCCGGCATCCTCAGAGAGGAAAGCCCCCAGGGACCCATCAGGCTAAGAGTGACATTCACTGATGTGACTGCAACAGTTGCCCTTCCCTGCGGGATATGTGTTTTCATCATCTCCTTGGTGGGCTTTGTGTTAAAATCCAGCTTCGTCCACATGGAGCAGCGAGAGTTTGCTGCTTTAAAGGCCCCTGGAGGAGGAAGCAGGGTATGGTTCAACCTTTGCAGAGTTCCTTTCTGGTCTGACCTATGTCCCGGCTGAAAAACCACTTGCCCTTTGCCTGCAGAAGTCCAGCCAAATAGCCTGGACTGGCAGTGCCTCACCCTGTATCTTCAATTCACAGATGAGGAGACCAAGGCCTCAACTTTGACTGGTTAAAGCCCACATAGTGTGGTGACATGCTGTTCATCAGTCCTGGTCTCTATGCCTGTGAGTGGCCTCAGGGACAGCTCTGAGGGGTTCTGACTAGCCGAGTTTTCTAGGCTGAGCAGCAGCAAGAGCAGGAGCAGGAGCAGGAGCAGGAGCAGGAGCAGGAGATGGTGGGACCCCTGCCCTAAGGCTCCTTTCTCTTGCAGGGCGGCTCCGCACTCTCCCCAGCGGCCATCATCAGCCCCAGCAGGGCACAGCAGCAGACTATGGCTTTAGCAGAGGAGGTCAACTGCCCTACCTCATCCAGCAGTGAAGTGGAATCCTGCCTGCGCCAGACACCCGCCAACATCCTCAATGATGCCCAGACCAAGGTGGGCACTGGTGTGCAGGATGTGAGGGACAATCTAGTCTTTTACAGATAGAAAGCCAAGACCTAGAGGGGAAACATGACCCATGCAAGCCACCCAGTACATAGCATGTCCACTGGGTATCAAGCATGAGTACTTAGGTGCACAGGTCTCTCTGCAACTTTGATTTCTCAGCTAAGATGAGGATAATGATGCAGCCCCTATAAAGCAGGAGAGTAAAATGCAATAGCAAAAGTGAGGAGGAGTCGTGCCCCCCACGCCAGTCCTGTGGCAGGTCACAGCTCTGTGCTTTGAGCAGGATGGACATAGCTCACAGATAGGCCGAGGGCTTGGGCCACCTTCGGCCTTACACAGGGCAGCTCAGACCCCAAGGCTCAGATGAGCCCTGAGATCAGCAAAGGAGACAGCAGCAGGACAACAGCAGAAAGCTAGGCTCCCTTGGCAAAGACCGCAGTGGGTTTTACCTTTAGTTCCCCTAGATGTGATAGAGGTCATGGTAACAAAAGCTGATTAATTAATTTCATGTATCAGAGCCACAGCCCTTTCTTCAACTGCACACCCCTCACTCCCCGGGGATCCATTGTTAGTTTGGTAGGGAGGTACCCGATGCTCTCATTGGGGACCATCTTTCGTTGACTGGTGGTTGAGAGTGAGATTTACCATCAGCCCCTGACCATTGTCACCTGGTGTCCTGCCTGCCTGCAGCCGTGGTCATTTTTCTTTGCTTTCCAAGAGTACCACAGGCGAACAAGCATCTCAGGTGATCATTCAGTTAGGACCTCATTATGTAAAGCAAGACGACTCATTATTCTGGGACTGTTTCTTACAAGGGAAAGGTATAGGATTAATGGCTAATGGTGTTCCTTTGCACCCCGCAGCTCCTGGCAGTGAGTGGCCCTTTCCACTACTGGGGTCCTGTAGTAGATGGCCAGTACCTTCTCGAGGACCCAGCCAGAGCCCTGAGGAGGCCTCCTCTGGCCAAGATCGATCTACTCATCGGGAGCTCTCAGGACGATGGGCTCATTAACAGAGCCAAGGCAGTAAAGGTAGGATAACAGGAGGCTGGGGCCAAGTGAGCTGCATATGACCTGTCCCTGAAGAACTGGGCCTCAGTAGGAGGGTGCCCTCCCCAGAGCCCCTCCCAAGGCACCTCCCCAGGACACACATAGTAGGCATCTCTGATAGTGCTATCAAATACTTTAATTTTTTTTAATTCATGCAGATATGATTCTGAAGCCCTTTAGATTTTTCTATTTCCCTTGGGTAATATACCTCATTATGGAGAATCTATATGTGCAAGGGTACTTAGTAGTACTAATTGTTGTGGCAAAAAAATGGAAGGAATTCAAAATTAACAGGGAAATGACTGACTGAATTAAAATACATACAAACTTATAAATATTATGCTCTTGTTCAAAAGAATGAACAAGCTATCTCTTTTCCTGCTTCGGGGATGCTTATTGTTAAATGGAAAACAAAATGTAGAGGAATATGGATTTATATGTTAGTCATAGTTTTAAAAATCAGCTGTAGTCCTGTAGTATCTGCGTGTGTGTAAATGTGTGTGCTTGGCTTATGTTTCTCAGTGAAAGGGTAATGGCGTAGCTAGATTAGCAGCAGCTACCTCAGTATGAAGAAGACTGTTATGCCTGGTTTACTCTATTGCTCGGTACACATATACACACATGTATGTATATTAGTAACATTCAATGTTGCCTTTTCCTTGGAATGCCTTAATTAACATTGTCCTGAAGATAAAGATGTATGATTGTTAGTTCATGAATCTAATTTCTTCTACAATTTTGGAAAAGGATTTTTGTGGGAAAGATGTTTGTTACCTGAAACAGAGTTTGCAGATGAAGACAAAAATTTGCCAAACATTTCTCTTTTCAAACCAAATTATTTGCAAACATAAGCATTCCTGAATTAAGGCACCACTGTACTGAACTCACCCTAGCCATCTTAGACTCTTTTTTCAAAAAAAGAAATCTAGTTTCATATTCTCAAGAGGCTTGGGATCACCCCAGACAGAGCACAGGGGTGAGGAGAAGGACGCACCAGGAGATTTTCCCCACTGCCACCTGCAGAAGTTCTGGCCACAGGAAGTGAGTGGTTCTTGTCTGTAGATCTGGGGAGGTGGGGGACCAGAGGCCACATTTCTCTATCATGCCAGCTGATTGAAAGGGGGTTGCCTAGACGTGTGGCTGTTTAGGCTTGTCCAAGTCCAACCACTGTCCTGTCTACCACTCCCCTCCCTGTCCTAAATTCCTAAGCCTCTCCTTATGGGAGCTCTAATCTGGATCCTGCTTTCCTTCTCCTCCCTGAGTTTCCCCAAGGCTACCCAGGCACAGTTTCCTTTGTCAATTTGCAAAGAGTTCTCTCTGACGGGAGGCTCACTGCCCAGCCAGCCTGGCTTGGAAGGCACACGCCAAGGTGGCACAGGGACAAAGAATCCTTGCTGCAGGTGTAGCCGAGACTCCCAGCCCATTCCACAACTGCCGCCCAAGCTTGGCTTCCAGGTTCTCTGCTCTCCATTCCCGTTTTCTCCTTTCAGGGTCAGGTGCAGCATGAGCAGTCTTGGGCTTCTGCATCCTACCCAGCTTATCCCCCGCTACCAGCCAGATGACAGAACGATTTCAGCAAAAGTCAGGGTGGAGCTGGGGCTGGCTTTCAAGGCTATTCTGTGCTGACTGCTCCCCAGGGGCAGTCCCAGGCGCTCTGTAGCTTCGGCCCAGACCCTGCCCTTGATCTCTAGATTGGTTCAGATAACAATCTGGCCACCTCATTATAACTTCTCACCCCACATTCACAGCAGACTGCTGGCCCCAGCCGCAACCCCACCCCCAAGCCAGCACACTCTCCCACAGTCTTTGCCACCTGGGAAACAGCTGCTCACTCTCCTCATACTCAGCCTTGACACCAGCAGGCATCTGGGTGCCGCCCTCTGCCAACATTCCGTCAGCAGCTCTGTTCCTCTGTCTCCGCAGCAGACTCAGCACCCAGCTGCTGCTCACCGCCTCCTGGGCCGCCGCTCCCAGGCTGCCATCCTCTTTCTCTGGGAACTTGGCAGAAGCCCCACTGCCTCCCTGCTGCCTCAGCCCTCACTGTCAATGAGGACCACTGCCTGCACCCGGAACGGTTGTTGTGGACCGAAGTCATCAGGCCACTCCTCCACGCTTAGCCCCACAGTGGCATCAGCTCTCCTGGAGTCAAAACAGAGCTCTCACCAGGACTTAGAGAACCTACGAGGCCTTAGTGGCTCCCTGGCCTCACTTCCTGCTCCTTCCTCCATGGCTCACTGTGCTCCAGTCACTTGTCAGTCCCTTTGATGTCCCCACACATGCTGAGCACACGCCCACCTTAGAGTCTTGCGTTTGCTCATCCTTCTTCTAGAGTGGCCCCGGGAAGCACAATGCCTCACTTTCCCTCAGATCTGCCTGTCAGACTCTAATTGCATTTGTATCTAGACAGTGTTAAGCGTGTTCTCGTTAGTCCAAAACCAAGACCTGGTCATTGAACCACTCGACATTTACGAGGGCATTTGCTATGTCCCAGATGCTGGGCCAAGTGTTTAGGCATAAATATTGAATTCTTGCCCTCGAGGTGGTCACAGTCAGACTAGGAAGTAGAGAATAAACCAGATAAACAACCTATCTATGGGCATCCTCCTTCTGAGCCTTAAGAAATGAAGGGCAGGGAACTGCTAGGCCCGTAGTGGCACTGCCAGCAAGGATGACACATGGCTAGGAAACTGAGCAGAACCCCATAAACTTGGCTGTCTCACCCAGATAGGAAGAGAGCTGTGGATATCCTTGGATTATATTCAGAAGCATCCAAGTTTCCCAGACCTGAGCCTCATTTGTCCTGCTTATAAATTCGGACATTATAATATTCCTATAAAAACAATCAAGAATTTAAATATACTTCAATTCCTGAAAAATAGTTTGACCTCAATAAATGTAGTTTTTGCTTAATTCTTTAATCTTAATAGGATTAGCATTCCTCATCCAGAGTGAGCCACAGAAAGCTGGAACACAAAGAACAGGCAGTCACTGAATCACCTCTCCTGACCCGAGACCAGTATCCAAACTACAGCAGACACAGACGTGTGCACACACTTCTTCCTCATGCCTATCCTGCAAAGTGCTAGCCAGAGCCCAAGTCATAAATTTACACAGGAAATCCCAGGACAGCTTGGAGTCCCTACCCAGTGCAGGACCCCAGACCCAGCCACCGCCTTGGCAGGGATGCACCAAAGCCCCACACCCTCTGCCAGCCCAGCTCAGCTGTAGCCCACCCGGGGAACCCCAGTGGTCCCCAGCAGAGTTTGCGACATACCCACGGAGCATCAGGGCTGCTTGGGATGCCTAGAAAGGCTCCATTCCTGTGAACGGTCCTATCTTCTGAAGTAGTAGCTTTCCATTGAAATTCTTCATCAGTCTCTGTGATAGGGAATTTCCACCCCCCTTTTCCTCTTCCTTACTGGTGAAATTGACAGTCTGCCTACATTAACTGGGCACTCATTTGCATGATCAAAAGCAGATTTATTCCAAGAGGCAACGTTCCATCTTCCCCTCCAAGCACAAGCGTCTCCAAGGAAGCCAAGGGAAATCAGAGAGGCAGCGCTGCCGCCGAACCCCAAGCTTGGCCAGGCATCAGCCCCTTTCGGGAGCAGGTGGGATGGGGGCCTGTGCTGCCGAGGCTGCCTGAGGGCTGGAAGCAGCACCTGGCAGCTGAGGAGCTGGCATGAGCCCCAGCACAAGGATATTGAGTCCTTAGTGACAGGCTTACAGTAAGAGTGCACAGGAGTCCCCAGCGTTCGTATGAAATTTCTTGAAAAGAGATGATACTGCACCGGATCCTGGTGCTCATAGTGGGGGGTTTAGTCTAGACCCAAGCCAGAGCTGGGGGTGGAGTCAGAAAAGGAGATCTCAAGTGTGCAATATAAGTTGCTTAGCAAGTCCGAGCTGCCACTTCTTTAGCCTTCTAGTGACACAGTGAATGAACCACTCCTTCCTTTCCCCCAGCACTGACACCGTCTTCTGAACCTTTCTGTGAGAGGGAATCTAGGAAAGGAAACAACTCTCACCCCCTGGGGACCCTGCTGCTGCCAGTCTGGAGCTCTGAGCTGCCCCCATACACTGTGACCCCCACACACACCCCCTGTGACCCAGGTCCTCACAGCCCCAGGCTCACGTTACCCCCCATAGCCTCATGTTCTGGCTTAGAGAGGTTGATTCCTTTCCCTCAGTCAACATATGCTGTGCCAAGCTGGAGTCTCTGTGATACTGTCATGATTATTATATTGTTTTCCTTCTAATTTAAAAATATATTCTTGTGGATCTCTGAAAGTACAGTGGACATTGGACTCCAGGCCTGCCCTGCTTGACTGAGAAGGAAGCCCCTTAGTGTCACAATAAGTGGAGGAGTCAGGAATCTTGCATGCCTGAGTTACTCCATGAAAGCATCCAGCAGACTTCCTAAGACTCTGCTGTATGTGTTGGACTCTCTTCCAGGATTCAGGAAAGCTCTAACTAAACAGACAAAGCCCCAGTCGTGGTATGTAGTTTCTGAGGGGCACAGACAAGTGATGATGTTCACACAAACACAGGAAGAATTTCAGATCTTGAAGAAAAATGTTCTGGAGAAAATGGAAGCAGGTCAATTGTGGGGGAAGTGGCAGAATGGGAGATGTAGTCTGGGGTGCATCCAGGGAGGTCTTTTGGAGGAGGGGACTTGGGGTTGAGATCTGTGCAGTGAGAACAAACCCTAGGGACATCTCTGGCAGAGCCGCTGCAAAGTCACACAGGGGGCCACCGAGGAGTGCTGGGAACACAGAGCAGGAAGTGTGAGGCACCTGAGGAGACCGTGCTGTGAGACCGCAGGTACCACCAAGCAGGAGATTTTATTCCTCTTATAGCAGGTGGTTACAGAATGCGTTTAAGCTAGGATATTCACCTACCCTTTTATCAAAGAGCATTCCGGCAGCTGACTAAGAGACAAGTAACAAAGAAAGACCAGAGTACACTGATGTGGAGATCCAGGGGATGAGCTGGTCGCCTCAGCAGGGCAGTAGATGTGGAAGTAGTTAGGAGTGGTAAGATGCTAGACCTGGGGGCACATGCCTGTTACCCCACCACTATGGGCTGCCGAGGCTGGAGGGGCCAAAGTTCAAGTCCAGCTTGGGCCACTTAGTGACTTAGCAAGACTCTGCTTCAAAGTGAAAAATATAAAGGGCTATCCTCACTAGCTGATCAAGGCCGTGCTGCACGGCAAGGGGAGGTGGGTAGTGAGAAGGCACTAGGTTCAATGTGTAGTCCTGGAAAAAGAAAGGGGGAGAGAGAGAGACAGAGAGAGAGAGAGAGAGAGAGAGAGAGAGAGAGAGAGAGAGAGAGGTGATCCAAATTACGCTACTGCTTGGCTCGGCAGCTGGGGTATATGAAGTGGGACTTTAGCAGACAGTCTAGGGCTGTGGGAACAAATTTGGAAGAAAATCAGGAAAATCTGATTTCATGAAAGCCAGTAAAAGGAAAGGTTTGCAAAGGGAGTGGAGGCAACTGGTAAAAATCACAGTGGAAGCTGAGGGAAATACGGGCTTCCGGCCCTCACAGGACAGTGATGGTGAGAGATACCAAGGCCGCATCAGCTGTGGGAGGTGATGGCAGCCTGAACAGAGCCGCCACTGGGGTGGGGGGTGTCACTCTGCCTTCTGAAACCACCTCCTGCCCATTGCTTGACAATCCTTGTGGAGACCAAATGGGCGCCTGAGGAGCACCTTACTCATTCAAGAGCTGGACTCACTTGCCCGACTAGGCTCCGCTCCACAGCAAAAACTATGTGGTCTCCACTCCCAATCCTCCATTTCTCAATGGTGGTAGGTCAGTCTGAAGCCCGTGTCCATCAAATATACAAATAGGTGCTGTGTCCCAGCTCTCTGGGAGCTCTGGAAAGGTCTGGGGCACTGGCTCTTTCCTCCATTTATTTGTCTATTTGCATTTTCCCACAAGAATCAGGTGAACTCTGGCAGGCTTTCTAGTGTTGGGAATTCTGCTCCAGTCTACTTCTTTCCAAATCTTGGGTGTTATAACCATTATGTAAAACTTGCAGAACGACCAGTGCACAAACGAACAATGATCAAGGGCCATCTCCCTGCCTATGGAGCAGCATCCAATACCTGCCTGGGATTCAAGCTGTGCTACCCATCTACTACCCTCTTCCAAAAGAGAATTCTTTTGGGTAAATAAAAATGGGTTAAAGACAGGTAACAAAGGAAGACAAGAAGGTACTGATGTGGAAATCCAGGGGCAAGCTGATCAGGCGATGATGCACTTGAGCTGAGATAGGGGGAGAGAGAGGCTCAGGACGACCACTGGGATGGAGTGCGACAGAATGCTAGGTGACATGTGCTTGGGTATAAGAAAGTGGGTGCTGGTCTCACTGAGGGTCTCACTGATGGTCAGAACTGATGGTCAGCACAGAGATGGGGAGCTGGCCTGTGCACAGTGGGTCCCATGGAACCATTTCCCAGGAGGAAAGACGTTTGTTTGGCTGAAGGTCTGAGGTTCTGGTGAAGGAAGTTCAGGACTCTATGGCTAGGTTATTGTGGAGGTGAACGGAAGAAATGACCCCACCCCCAAGCATGTGTGAATAGAAAGGGGAGAAAGGAGGCAGGAATAACAGCTAGGGCTCTCAGAATTCAAAACTAGGCAGAGGTAGGAAAGAGGGCTCCAGAAATGAGCATGAGAGATAGCTGTCTAAGTGAGACGAGCCAAGGGGTGGGTGTGGTCAGCAGGACAGTGTCTCTGGGAGCTACTGGCAACCTTACTGGGGGTATCGAGAAGCAGGAAGGAGAGAAGACACGTCCACTGAGTGCATGCCTTGCTGAGGGCAGAAAGACACACAGAAAGCACCCTTCTGGGGGAACCAACAGTAGCTGCTGAGTTCCAGGTGGGCTGGCCCAGTAGGGAGTTGCACAGTCTGAGGGAGTGAGGGGTAGTCTGTGCAGTAAAGGTCCCCAGAGCACAAAGCAGCAGGCCTGAACCTTCAAGTGCAAAGGGCCTGGGTCCAAGTGGAGGAGGAAGCACTCAGAATGGGCCATTTCCCTAAGAATAGGCCAGTGCAGGCCTAGGAGGCAGTGCTGGAGGTGTCAGTGTGAGCTGCGTCCTAGATGGTGCAGCTGGGAACCCACTGGCTCCTCCCTAGGGCCTGCATGCCACAGTGGTGCAAGGTGCCCACCCTGCTCTGTGCACCTAGGCTCTGTTGGTGCCCAGCTGCAGACCACCATGGGTGAGGTGTTATCTAGGCGAGAAGCACAGGATGAAGCCCCCATTAATCCCGCCTCCTGTCCCCTGGCCTCACTTCCTGCTCCTCTGCCCTCACCCACCACATGACCCTGCGTGTGTACAGCTGCCCCTCACCTCTCTTCTGGGCTCAGATGCCTTCCGTGCTGCCCAGATGATATGCAGTGGGCACTTTCTCCCCCTGCCAATGTCTACCTCTTCCCTGCCTAGTGGGGAACAGAAGCATGCAGAGGTGTCTTCCCTGGACACATTTACTCTGCAGATGAAGCCTGAGGTCACATCCTGAGCTGGATTTGGGTTGTGTCTCTTAATGGCCAGGTGCCTCTCTTAGCAGCAAGGCACTCAGGATGACCCCAAACCCTTGGCATCTCTCAGTGCTTCCCAGTGGCTTGACTCCCTGACTGTCCTTTAAAACCATATACAGAGGACCTTCTCATGCTTGATAATCCCTTAACACAATTTGACTGGACAGATCCACTGCCAGGGACAGCTCCTGCCTGTGATGAGCGTTTGTGGAAGTGTCTGCAGCCCAGGGCTCTGATTAAGCCAGCAGAAGCACCTTTGCTCAGCTCTGCACCAAAGATGAGGTGATGTGTGTGATGGGTTTTGTTTAAAATGTGCCCTGCCACATTCCTGTGCCCTCTGGAGAGGGCCCACATTCCCAGAGCTCTATCACATTCACTCTGGGAACGTTTTGCCCAGCTGGCCTCAGGCTAGGGGACCCGGCTGAGTGCTGAATCCTCCCAGGAGCACAGAATTGATCTTCTCCCCTACAGTCACTTCTGTCCAGTCCTGGGCTGTGCATTATAAAACACCTGTGGATCCAGGCGTGGTGGTGTACACCTGAAATTTCAGCACTGTGGGAGACTGAGGCAGGAGGATTGCAAGTTCAAGCCCAGTTTGTTGGTCTCAAAATAAAAAAGAACCAGGAGTATAGCTCAGTGGGATGGCCCTGGATTCAATCCCAATACCAAAAAAAAAATGGGAGAGCAGAAATGCTGCTCGGACCTGGCCCCTCCTGCTGCACCCCTTCTGTCCTCAGCCATGGCCCCTCTCCTGCTATGGCTCCCAGCTGAGGATGCAGCCTGAGCATTTGGGAAGCCCCTGCAGCAACTTGGCACCATGTTCTCTTGCACTGCCTTTTAGACATTCATATTATTCATAGGAAGACATGAAAACAGAAAGAAAACCAGGAGGGAGGAACTTTCTTCCATCAAGACAAACACTCAGAGCAACTGGAGGCGTTTTCTCCTGTGAAATAAAGAGCTTTGGGCCTTGAGCTCCTCTTTCCCCTCGCTGACAGAAGCCAGTGAATATCCAGGATAAGTGCAAACAGATCCCTTTCAAGAAGTGCCTTCTACCAGCCTTTGCACTCACTGCTTCAAAGAGTCGCATCTAACAACGCTGACAAGCGAACTTCAGCCCCAGTTTGCCCACAAGGAACCTGAGGATGAGAAAGGCTGACTTTCCCAGAAGCACACAGCAGGGAAATGTCCTGGCCCCAAGAGCCACCACCCTCCCAGCCCACACCACAAGCAGACCGTCTCAACGTGCAGCAGAATGCTTTGCCTATGACTGCTCAGGTCCCTTAATCCTCAAACACAGGGTGTCGGTATTAGGGAGCCCATTTTAAAGATGCGAGCCTCTGAGAAAGGTGAAAATGTCTCTACCAAGCTCCCCTAGGTCTGGAAGCTGGCCCTTGAACTAATGTGGCCTCTAATGCCAGTGCTGTGTCCACTGCATTGAGCCCAGGACCCATGGGCAGACTACCTGCCCTCTGTGCTGTGCCTGACCCTTACCACTATGAGTGGGTAAGTAGAGAAAGGGATGGGGCCTGATGCTCCCAGCAGGAAGTCCTGGGCTTGGTCCAGCCCTCCTGGCCTGCACCAGGCATGTCACCCAGGTCACACAGCTGTTCAGCTGCTTCTGTGAAGCATGAGGGAAATACATAGTGCGAAGCTGTAAGTAAGAGGAGGTGGGAAAATGGTGACCAATACCACATTCCTCATGAAATGTTCCAAACGGAAGACACTATGCACAGGTTCCCCTTTAAACCACTGGTAGCTGTGGCACCAGCAGGAGGATCAGGATGACGTGTTTGAGTGGACAAAACTGGCCTGGCCCTGACCAGAGGGAAGCTGTCTGCTGTGTGTAGCTGCTGAGAGCCAGGGCTGGGAGCACCATGCATAGATGCACTTATGAGTCCATGAGAGAGTGTATGTGCATATTTGTGTGTGTGTGTGCGTGTATGTGTGTGTGTGCATGCATGTCCGTGTGTCCTGTATGCACATAATCTCCTCCTTTAACAGTGCGTGATCATGGTCTGTAATACTGAGACACCACTCACAAACTCTCTATTCAGGATGAGCACATGTTAATATGCTTCCGTGTTGGCTTCAGACTTCCTTCCAAGGAGTCTGAGCGAGCCTAGAGCCTAGCCCCTGCTCCCGGCTCCCTGCCTCTTTCCCCTGCTTCCCTGTGGGGCCGGCCAACGGCAGGGGACAGATGTGCCTTTGACTAGTTAGCCCTCTCTGGGCACAGGCTGAGCTTGATTAGCCCACTGACAGGACAGATGTCCTCTCAGGAGGGGCACAGTGCAGTGCTGGCCCTTGACTTCTAATCCAGTGTGCTTGAAATGTTTAGACATGCGGTGTAAACATGTCAGGGGTGCTGATAAATGGGGACACGGTTTATGCAGAGCCTAAACATGTGTAAACACAGATCACAGGCCTGGCCAGGGGCCCAGCGTCTGGGCAGCTCTCCCTGGAGCTGCATGCCTTACATTCTGCTGTCCCTTAAGACCAGAAGCAAGGAAATGACCTACCCTGCACTCCACAGTGTGGGTAGCAGCAAGGCCAGGCTAAGGCAGGGCGCAGGGAAGGAGGAAAGGCAGGATGAGAAGAGAGACACACAGAGAGTGCGTGCGTCACTCCTGTCGGGCATGTACCCCCTTGGCCAATGCCTTCCCTGCCTGACCAGTGTGAAATACCCAGCCGGCCTCTCCCAGCCACTCACTCTACCTTCAAGTGTCCTCCCAGAGAGGCCCCCGATGAGCTATGTGTTCAGCTGCCCATTCCACTGGACCACACGCCCAGGTGAAGAGCTGCAGCTAGACCAGAATGTCTGTGGACTCTCTCCCAGCCTGGCACAGGCAGCCTGGAGAGAATGTTCCCCACACAAAGGTACATTTATATTTTCAATGACTGAGTTGGTGGATGGAGCTGAATTGAGCTGGGATGGCTCAGAGCACAGACACACAGAACCTGGTCAGAGCAGCCCAGAGAGAGCTGGTGAAGCTGGGTACATGACCTACTGACAAGTGGCATTGATGGCCAGCATTGACCACAGGAGGTGATTCATATGCATGTCTTTTTTGCCCTTCCTGTGACCTTCTGTGAAAGATGTCTTTGTTTCCACATCTTTACTGGAAGGCACAGAGGGGCACAGCCATCGCATCTAAGGTCACACAGCAGGAAGAAAGCAGCACGGGGTTCAAACCTGGCAGTTTGGGTCCAGCACCCTGAGCTTCATGCAGTGCTCTACCACTTCTCAGAAAGAAAATTCTAGAACAAGTCTAGAGTTGAGTTTTTCTTGTTTTTGTGTTTTCAGAGATTTGAGGAAAGTCAAGGTCGGACTGAGAGCAAAACAGCCTTTTACCAGGCACTGCAGAACTCCCTGGGTGGCGAGGACTCGGATGCCAGCGTCCTGGCTGCAGCCACGTGGTACTACTCCTTGGAGCACTCCCAGGATGACTACGCCTCCTTCTCCAGGGCGCTGGAGAATGCCACCCGGTGAGCCGGCCCAGGGCTGCGGACCCAGCGATGATGTGTGGAAGAGGCTGAGGGCCTCGGGCTTCAAGCTTGCGGTGCCCTCTCCCCTTCACTCCATCCACAGCACAGGGCAGCGCTGCCAGGGTCCGTCCCAGGGTCAGTGGAGAAATAGGGACTCTACTGACCAGCCTACCTGTCTCAGCCCCTGGAAAGACACAGGACTATCAGCTGCCACTTCCGAGATTCATCCACATCCCTCAAGAGAAGCTGAGATGGGACCAGGGTAGTGTGAGCCCGGAATCTGCAGCTTCACCCTCCCACCATGCTAGACTGAATAATTGTGGGTTTGAGGGCTGTCCTGTGCTGTGCAGGACAGGGAGCATCGTCTTGACTTGTACCCACTGGACTCCAGTAGGAACTTTCCACCCCCTATGGTAACAACCACAGAAGGTCTCCAGGAACCTCAGTGAGAGGTAATCTCACTGAGAGCTGCAGGTTTAAAAGTATCATAGGCATGAAATGTCTTTGAGGACTTTGTTTTCATTTAAAATGCATAGATATTTTATGTCCGGCTCCACAATGTATTTACTACATTACTGTAACAGAGTGCAGTACCAAGTCTTTATGTGACACTGACATTCTAAGAAAGGCTTTAACCCATGACTCGCTTGGCCTCTGAGATGCATCTCCATGGATGCCAGCTTTGGGTCACAACCTGCCGTAAGCCAGAGCGAATGATGTGCTGTGCCTCAGTTTTTCCACCAGGGTGGCAGCAAAGCCACAGGGAAAGGGGCTGAATGTGGAGACCAGTGTCCTCTGCAGGCTGGGGCAGAGGAGCCTGGGGGATGAAGGGACTGGGGGTGCTCTCGCTTGGGAGAAGCTCTTCCCTGGCCTGGCTGTCCACAGAGCTGTGTTTCACCAGGTTCCCTCTACTGTTTTCTCCCCAGGGACTACTTCATCATCTGCCCCACGATCGACATGGCCAGACGCTGGGCAAAGAGGGCCCGGGGGAACGTCTTCATGTATCACGCCCCAGAAAGTTACGGCCATGGCAGGTAAGGGAGCTGTGTGGCCACAGGGAGCAGGCAAGAGAGCGGCCTGGCTGGGGACCCTGTCACTGCTGTGAGCCAGGGGGATTCAGAGAAAAGGGGGGGACTGAGGAATAAGCCTTGGTCAGTGACAAGGGCTGTTCCTCTGCTAACCACACTTTACCTCCGTTTCATTGTCTGAAAAATGGCAACAGTAAGACAGCCGCTTTATTTCCCCTGGTGTTACAGACAGGGAAGTAAAACAGGAGATGTGGTGAGCTTTCTAAGGCTTTCGTTATTCATTACTGATTGATTAACTTGGCTTGGGCATTCATCCTGCACTTTATGCCTCTAGAAACAAAGCACTCGCCTTATGAAAATGATTTCCCATGTGCAGAAGGATTTTTTTTTTTTTTCAGTTCAAGGCAAGGGTAAAATCACTGTGCTTGTCTCCTTTCCTCTCCTCCCGGGAGGCCCATGCGGACCTTCTGTTCTGTTCTCTGTGTCTGAGCACAGGACCAGGGTCACAGTTCAGATCACTGCAAAGAGCTGAGGCTCCATGGAGGTCCCTGCAACCACCAGGACAAGCAGCTGGCTAGCAACAGAGCAGCAGCCTGCCCTGGCTTCACTAAGCCTCTATTCTATACTCTCCTTCCCCTGAATGCAGCTTCCCTGCATAAGACAATCCAGTTTCACCTCCTAGAAGCTGGCAAGTGGTTCAGACTATGCGAGGGCACCTGCAGGGTGGGCTCTGGCTCTGGTGAGAGCTTGTTAGTAAGGGAACATGAGACAGCCCTAGGGTGAGGTTAGAGGGTCGAGGAGTCCCAATGGGCTGTAGCCACAACTGCTGGAACCAGCCTTAGCTGTTCCTTCCAGCGCCAGGCACTCAGATTCTCCTGCTCCACCCTGGGTCCCTTGCTGGGTCTCTGCATTCCTTTCTTTGAAGATAAGGTTTAAGGCTCCTCTAGCAAAGTTAGTTCCTCAGGAGCCTTCATAAGCTGAACCCCGCTGGGCATGATGGTACACACCCACAATCCCAGCACCTTGGGCAGGGATGCAAAGGTATTAAGAATTCAAGCCCAGACTGGGGGATGTATTGAAGCCCTATCTCGAAATAGAAAGTAAACTAAAATAACTGTAGCTCAGTGAGAAAGCCCTGGGTTTAATCCCTCACACCATTCTCTTTAAAAAGCATGCCTGCGCCTTTGATCCCCAAAGTTTGCAGTGGGGAAAAGAATAAGAAACACACCCACACGTAAAGGTGTGCAAATAAAGGGGAAAGCAGTCCTGTGTTTCCTGCAGAATGGATGCTGCCTGGTCCCCTCCTAGGTAGTGGCGGAGCGCTCCAAAGATGGAGCTCAGCTATGGAGGCTGGAAGGGTAAAGTCCAGTTGTGGGCTGGGTCTGCTCTTTTGAAGGGGGTGGCGGGCCTGTCCCCTGCTGATGGCAGCCTTGGACTCCTTGGGATGTAGATGATGCATGCTCCCAGTGCTTCTCACATCTTCTTTTTTATTTGTTTGTCTTTGTTCCAAATTGACCTTAATTTGACTTCATTACTTCTGTGAATAGAGAGCTTTGCTTTGAACAATTGCATTCTGGAGTTAGGACAATGGCGACTCAGCACCTCATCTGATCATGGAGAACAAGTCTTTTCTGCTTTACCATTCATGTTTCTTGAGGCTCAGTTTTCCTAACTGTGAAATGGGAGTAGGGAGGTATGTGTGGCTGGCAACTAATTCTTCCATGGAGCTTGGTGGGTCCTGGGCTCCTGTGAGCTGGAGTACAAGGTGGGCCTTTGCCTCCAGGACCCTCTTCATCTCCCTACCAGGGCTCTAGAAACATTCTCAAGCATGCTCTGTTCATAATGGTTTGGACTCTTAGCTCAGGTCTCCCCAGGGCACTCAGTTTCTATCATTTCTGAAGGAGACACTCCCAGAGACACCGATTCCTCTGAGCATATGGGCATAGAGACAAATGAGTATCATGGTGAAAGGTGGGGGTGTCTTCTACTTCTGATATGACGCATGCCATTGACATTAGACTCTTATCCGCTCAGTGACCCACAGCAAACCATGCACTCTCCTCAATGACTCAGGTCCTTTCCTGGACAATGTGTGTTTGCTGAACCTAAGGGCTGGGCGTGTCCCCAGTGTTCTCAGCCATCAGAGCGTGTTCTTGACAACATCCTGTGCAGTCTCCCTCTGCCACAGTGACCACAGGGCCACCCATATGGTAGACACTGGAATCGGCAACAGATCACAGAAAGGGAGTCTTTGATTGTTGGCAAGCTTATCTTTTCTTCCCCAGGAGATAAGATCAGTTTCCCTGCTTCTCGGTCTCCATCTCTGTCTTTTTCTCCTCCGTTTCTCTCTTTCTCTGCCCTGGAGCTGTCACACCTTTCATTTTATTTCTGGCTCGAATCTACACACTTAAAATACATGCGTGTGTGCTGCTTTCCCAGCCATCTGTTTTGTACCCACTTCTGTTAGCGTATATTAGATTTCCTGGCGAAAGCTAGCGAACAATACACAATATATTTTGCTTCCTTACAGACCGTTGCTGTTAGATCACAGAATATCAGTGAGGTTCTCTGCGGCCCACAGGACTGTTTGAAACTGGGGGGCAAGGGGCAAACATCTATGAGGAAGGAAGACACATTGGATGGGGGCAGGGAAATAAAGAAACCAAAATCTAAATCTTTAAGATTCTGATTCAGGGAATCACAGGCTATGGAAGATGATTTCGCTCACTCCTTCACTTTACAAAGAACAGAAGCCAGAGGTGGCCGGAATTTATCCCTGTCCCAGTGCCCCTAAGAAGCCATCTAGACTTAAGATAGTGCCTCATTCCTCTCAGCTGCAGCTGCCTCAGCCAAAGTCTTACTAAATATTTGCCATGGCTACGTCTACTTACTAGCTCTGACTCTGAGGAAGTTGCTTCACTTCCCTGAGCCTTCTTAGGATGGCTGCTATACCTGGATGGAATAGTAATACCTTCCCAATGCAGTTTCTGTGAATCTGCATGGTGTTTAGCCCAAGGCATGTATCTAGGGGTGTGTGTGTGTGTGTGTGTGTGTGTGTGTGTGTGTGTGTGCGTGTGTGTGTATGAGTGCATATAAATGCACACATGCATGCATATCTGGCAGGCTGTGACTACAAATACTCCTGATATGAGAGTTAAACAGGTGAGGTTTTAACATCCTTCATCTCACTATCCCCACTTATGAGATTGGAGGAGTCACCTCCACCTCACGGTGTTCGTGATGTGTGTTTAATGTAGGGGAGATTGTAGATATTTAGTATTTGGTAGCAAAGGTTCTTTTTCTTTTAGAAAAAAATAAAGGTCTGATAGGAAAAATAAATAAAAATGACTAAAGCAGCAATAATGCTCCTTCTTGTTAAGCTGCCCCAACTTTGGAAAACAAAGCTATAAATTCTGGACTCATGGTGCTCTGATCTCCACTGTTTGCATTCTAGACACTCCTGTACATTCCAGGGCCCTTAACCACTCCAGATACAAAATATTAACTCTTCAGGCAACTGCTGTGGTGTTTTGGAAGCAAGAAACCAAAGAACAGATTAAGGAGCTGGATTCTTGAATTGGGTCCATCAGCCTTAGCTGCATCCTGTGTGATTAACAAGATTATTGCCCAGTATAGATGAGCATCAGTCATGTTCTGAAACTGACCGCTCCAGCCCCATGACACAGGAGAGCTTGCTCTCCACTTCCTCCATAGCATTGATTCAACGGGCCCGTACCTAATGCTCTCCACGAGCTGGACATGGGTCAGACTGCAAGGTGAAGGGGCTGCTGCCTGGACAAAGACCAGCGCAAACACCAACCCAGAGCATGTGGTGAGACTAGAGATAGTACTAAGAGTAGGTCAGGGCTGTGGAGAACTCTCTAGAAGGGTGTGATCCCCTGGGAGACTTGAACAGTGACCAGTCCCAAAGTAGGGCTCACAGAGGCCAAGATCCTGAGGTATGAAAAGCCTGAGGGAGCTGAGGGCTGAAGTAGGGGGAGTGCTTAGGGTGTGCAGGAGAAGAGAGGGTCTTGTGGTTCACTTGGAGTTATAAGTCCTAGCAGCAAAGCGTTAGTGTTTTATTTGAGTGTGATGGGAAGTCATCAAAGATGCTTAAACAGAGGAGCTATTTAGAGTGCACATAACCCAAACATAGTTCACTGAATCCCTAGGTATCTTGTTGTGGTTGCTGTTCTTGTTGTTGTTAATAGAGTGTAGAACAAAAGTCCTGCTATGTGATGGATGGTCAGTCAGAAAGGCCATTAAAATGGGAAATTATAAAAACATGATCAATACAGGTATAGCTACATAACTTAAACATCACACTTTAACTTTAAGCCTACATTCCCTTCCCAATCTTTGGGTTTGGGGTCGGAGAGTCCCTATGAATTTCCTGCAAAAGTAGAAATAAAAGATTTCCAGGTCGGAGTCCTGGGAAGTGGGACTCTATATGACATAGTGTTTAATTACATAGTATGATGCCAGTGGGAAACACAACTGGACAGAGTCTTGATTCTCAGTCTGCAGACCACCTACTGATGAGCACAAGTGTGGTGGGTGTGGAAACCTCTGTTTTTTCTGTAGCACTTCATGGGGGTGCAGATAAAGTGCTCGGGCTGACCCAGCATGTCACTTGAAGCTTTGACTGCTCTGCAAGACAAAATATTCCCCAGCTCTGCTGACTTGGGGGAATTCAGGAAATGTCTTAAATATTTCATTTAGGGATGGGATGAGACTGTGTTATTTAAAGTAAATCGGGGAGTTTGTGTTTAGAGCATTGTGTAGCAAGTCTATTTATAAAACACAAGTCATTTGTCATGCTTATTATTTCCTGATTAATTCACAGGCAGAAACTGAGCTTTTGCAGATTAGATTTGCACAAAAAGAGTTTTTGATTCCTAAGGGATTCAACAATTTCTCACTCTCCCCATAAATAATAAAAAAAACCCAAACAGAACAAAACAACAAAAAAGCCTGGGATATAGCAAAGGTTTCCAGCCCTCCCT